GAGCCAAGCGTCTGGCACAGCCAGCAAGAGCGCTGTAGGAAGTATGAGTGGGGCGAGAGCCCTGGGGCATGAGGGTGGCTGGAGAAGCCTTTCCAGCCAGGCTAGCATGATTACAAATAAGGGGAGAGGGCGTCCTCCTGGGAGTGGACAAAGTGGGCCACAGGGGTTGGGGCAGGAACAGGTTTGATCACTTTTCCCACCCTTCCTGAAGGATTTAGCTGCTGGATGAGGCTTCCATAAGGGTGGGAACCACCTGCTAGTTTGAAGGCTTTTACAGAAGTTGTAAAGTTGTAACAACTGCCTCTGACTCTCTCCAACATGAGTGTTTCTCTGTATTTTAAAATGAGAGGAAAGGAAAAAAATAAAACAAAACTCAGAGTCACCGAGCTGGTTCTTTCTCTTGGAAGTCAACTTTCACTAGCAAGAGCAACATATCGAAAAGGATTCCCGAGGATTTCCGTGAACTAAGTGTGCTGCAATTGATTAGTGATGTCTGCTGTGGGCACGGCCATAGGGACCACAGCACTTGGCCACACCTTGCCCAGTAAGTCATCTAGCAGGGAGAGCGTGCGGAGACATGACTGCTGAGGGCAGGGTCTGAGCCCTGGCTCCTATGATACCAGCTTGCGTAGCAGGGCAGCTGTGGGGGTGAGGGGGACTGAACTTCACTCACTGTGTCAAAGGAGGCATAGAGTTGGGAAGAGCGCTAATAGCATTCCTGTCCTTGGAGCTCCCAATAGCAATTCTATCTGCTGCTTTGCTCTCTCCCCTAAACAACCCCCATCCCGGATATGCTGTATATATATATGTATGTGTATGAGAAATCTTATGACAACTGATATCTTTAGCGACAAAGGGCCTTTTGCCCTGGGACTCCTTGATCTTTTAGCCTGGAAGCTTCAACCACCTTGCCTTCCATGAGATCCCTCCATACCCAGCAGAAATGATCATAGTGGGTTGGGTGATGGGGTGGGGACAGACAGCAATTCAGGTCTTCCCATCTGTGAAATGGAGCAGTGGGCATGTGCAGGCCTTACAGAAGCTGCAGGGAATAAAGAAGCCATGCCAAAATGTGCACAGCCCTGGCCTCTGGCTTGCACCCCAGACGCTCCACAGTCTCCACATTTCTTACTTGCATTTCTTACTGTTAGCTGGGGGAGGCTGCCAGCACCAGCTGAAGTGGACTCCAGGCCCTGCTCTCCTTCCTGGCTCCAGGCAACAAACAGGCCTCTTTGACATCCCACTGCCTCTTCTCTCAGTGCTGCAAGCCCGTTGCCCAAGTCTAGGTGTCAGCTGACTGCCTCCATTTGGGACATTCTGGCTGCTTTCTTCCCAGCAATCCAATCAAATCCCAGGCAGCCAGAGGGCTCAGCGAAGGCCCCAACCCAGGATGGAGTACTGCCGGGGGTCAAATCCCAGGCAGCCAGAGGGCTCAGCGAAGGCCCCAACCCAGGATGGAGTACTGCCGAGGGTGGGGTGGATTCCTGGGTTCTGGGGCCTGCTTGCACCACTCCTGGCTCCCCACAAGCCATCAGAGCCACCAGAGGGCTCCTCCCTGCTCTGCCCCACCCTACCCAGTCCCTGGTTCTGGGCTCTCCTTGGCATACTCATTTTCTGGCCCCTGCCTAGTACTAGTGCTTCGGGATTGCTGCCCCCAGGCCACTGCATAGGTTGTGCCTACCTGGGTTGTCTTTCTCAGGCCCTCCTTCGTTAGGCCTTTCAGGAAGTGGCTCAGTCCTCCTGCCCCATGGCCTAGGAGCCCCAGTTTCTAGGAGCCTGCTGTGGGTACCCCTTGGGTCCCAAATGTGACCTCCAGTGAGGCACCTTTCAGTGCAATCCCAGGCAGGTCTGGGTTTTCTAGAGGAGGGGCAGAAGTGTGCGGGGAGGCACAGGCGGTGAAAGGCCTGAGCTCACCGGGTGCCTCCCTCTACACAGTAGCTTACAGATGGTCTCAGAATAAAGCCACTGCCTCCCCCACCTCTGACTCGCCCATTGCTCTCCTTCGCCCTTGACTCTGACCTTGGAAAGCAAAAGCCTAGAAAAGCTGTGAGGACCAAGAGGGAAGGGGCTACACCCCAGGACCAGGTGCCTATTGTCAGCACTCTGAGCTCTCAAACACCCGTGAACCCTCACTGTTCTGACACCCTCTCCACTGTGCAGCCAGCCCCTTCTGGTTGCAAGCCCCAATGTTGCAGGGAGAATGACGCTGGGAGCTTCTTGGGACAATGTGTAGGTCTCCTGTCTGCCCTGCCCAGGATAGCAGCCACTTACTGAGGTGTCTGCTGAGGACTTGGAATGTGGCTGCAGTGACCAAACAGCCTAGATTTATATAGTATCACATCTGCATGGAGATACTGGGACCACCACTTGCTGCACGGATGGTGCAAGCCTGGAGAGCCCCTCCCCCCCGGAGCCCCAGGACCAGGGGGGCCCAGCCTCCCTACCCAACACAGTGCCTCACTCCCACTCCAACCATTTCCTGCTGATCTGGGGTCCCACAGCCACAGCCTTCCCCTCTCTGTTCCCGTTTCAACCCCTGCTCCAGGTCATGGTCCTCTCTGGCCTGTGCCAGCCTCCTCGTTTTGACCTCATTTCTGTACTTGCTTCAGGCCTCATGCCAGGGACTGCCTCCTCAAACTCCTTTAGTGACACCTCCAATTACTCTGATGCAGGTCCCCTAAGACAATCTCCTTCCCTCTAGCTTCCAACCTCCATAAACAGTCCTCACTCCTCTGTAGTCTGGACGACAATTGTTCACCCTTTGTATCCTCTCCCAGGAGGCTGGCCTCAATTGCTACCACTCTAGGGTTGCATGGCATGCACTCTGGATCCCAGACTCCATCTCTCCCTCGACTGTAGCACTGTCCGCATAACACGGCCACTGCGTGTTTCCTCTCAAGTCCTTCATGCCATAAAGTCTAGGACAGAAGGGGTCTCTGACAATGCTGGCTCCTAGCAAACCTTTCTGAATATGTTCTACATATTGGTTCAGGGAGGCAGCAGGACCCAGTGGCGAGGTCACTGTACAAGAAGTTCAGTTCTAGTCCCAAAGAAAGGGACAGGAGGTCACATGGATCTCAGCTTCCCCCTCTGTGAAATGGGTGTCCCTTCAGTTGAGCCTTAGGTGTCTCTCAGCTCTGATAGGTGGGAATTCTGGGAATCAGTAGCATAAACATGAAGCTACAGTTTGCAGTAGAGGGATTAGCATGTCAGCTGGAACAGCAAAACCCAAGGCTCCAGGAGCCTGCACCCTGAGGCAGCTAAGCCTTAAGAGAGAAAGCAAAGGAGCCAGCTGCAGACAGGGCCTGGAGAAGTGTAAGGGGGGCAGAGAGGGAGTGGGCTACACCCTCAGGGCCAGGTGCCTGACCCATGAGCAGTCACTGTTCTGACACCCCCTCCACAGTGCAGTCAGTCCCTCCTGCATGCTCAGCTTGGCTGGCCAAGGTTGCTCTTCTGCTCCACTGCTGAGCTGATTCCCAGTCCAGCCCAGCCCAGCCCAGCCCCAGCTCCAGGTTACTGTGGGCAGCCTGAGAAGCACTCTGGACTCCCTGGGGCCAGGCAAGGTGTGGGAACCACCTGCCAGCAGCAGCTGTAGGTGTACCCCCAGCACCAGGAACGTGCCCTAAGACTGCCTTCTCTGCTCTGGCCCGGTGACCGCAACACCCCCCCCCCCCGACCTCCTGGAGAACGGTTCTGGCAGGTACCAGCCTTGGCCTGGCAGAGCACCTGAGAGGAGCCAGGTTGTAGAGAACCTGTATATCCTACTTTCTGCATCCTATCAAGATAACCACAGCGCCCCCCACAGCCAGAGCTGAATGTGGACTTCTGCTACATGCAGGCTCAGAGTTGGTCCCAGGTTGCTCAGCTCCTAAGCAGAAGAGGGGACTCAAAAAGCCAACACCGCTGGACTCTACCACCTTACTCTTCAACGGTCCACACCACACACACACACCCCACCAACAGATAAGATATCGCCTCCCCAAGGAGACTGCCCATAGCAGCCACTCCAGCCTCTCCTTCCTGAGGGGCAGGGTCCCTGCCAGCCTGTCCTCCCCTTCTTCCAGACTCTGGACTTTCTGTGCTGCCCCATGCACTAGATCACCGATCTCACCAGCCCTGGGCAGCACAAGGGGACGTCTTCACCCTGGTCAGAGGACCCTCTCCGCTTGCACTCTCACGGCTAAGAGATGTACCAACAGCAGTTAATCTACTTAGGAACTCTGGGGGGACAGGGAAAAAGCTCACTGCCCACTTCCCAGAAAAAACACAGGCACAGAGCATGGAGACCATCCTGGGCCCCAAGATAGGGCATCTGGCAAGGGGACAAGAAAATGCAGTCTATGTATGCCCAGTGCCAGGAGGGCCAGGAGGGCCAGGAGGAACACACTCGGAGCCTGGCCTCATAAGGCACGGATCCGGAGGCCACCCTCTGCAAAAGACGGTTCCTTCCGGGCCTGCAGACCCCTCCTGCAACTCACTCCCTCTTCCCACAGCGACGAAACAAGTTCGGGGGGCAACAATCCCACCAAGCCAAGAGATTGGTTCACCTTGCTCAGCAAGCTAGGCCTGGTGGGCCAAAGCTTCCCACTGCGTGGGCGCCAGGCAGCTCTCACTTTGCTGTGACAGGGTCCTGTGAGCAAGCGAGCGAGAGGGAAGCAGTGCTCGCCCGCCTCCCCGCGCCGTCTCGCGTGTTTTGCCTTCCTCCACCTGCCCTGCGCGCCCGGGGCGCTCCCCGCGCTGGACGCTTGGGGTGCCTCCGGGGACGGGAAGCGCGGAACGTAGCTCAGTCGGCTGGTTCGTCCCAGTGGCTGGCAAAGGAAGGCATCGGCCCATGCCGTGTGCCCCCACGTCCCCTCAGGTGAAGTGAGCGTGCCCTGGGCGCGCTGGATGGCGTGGAGAGTGAGCTCCCGTGGGCGTGGGCACGGGCTGGTGGAGGGCTTGGAGGTTGCGCGAGGGGGCGCCGCGGGGAGGGATAAAAGCCAGCAACAAAGAGTACAGACCTCGTCCAGCAGTTGGTTAACTCGTCCCAAAATAGCCGTCTCCATTTGCTGCTCCCCGCGCTCCGCTTCCAGGCGCAGCACCCGGGCCTGCAGCTCGGTCGTCCGAAAGTGGGCGAGCAGGCTGAGAGCCAGCGAGCACAAGGCCAGAGCCAGCAGCCCGCAAGACCCCGGGCTCGGCAGCCGCGCGCAGCGCTCGCTCCGCGCCGCCGTCAGCGCCACCGTCCCGGGCGCACTCAGTTCCCCTGGGCCGCGGACTCCGGTGGCCGCTGCTTTGCGGGCGTTCTCCGCTACCATCGCCGGGCGTCACAAGAACCAATAAATAAATAAATAGAATAAATAAAGGCGAGACCTGTCGCCGAAAGACGCAATCCACACAGCGGGGCAGGAGGGAAGGGCGCGCGGTCGCGGCAAACGTCCCTCTCCTCAGCTCCCGACTGAGAGACGCAAAACTCCGCACCAGGACGCGGAGAGCCGGGAGACGCGACCCGCGGGAACCGAGTTTTCACCAGACTGAGGGGAAAAAGGTGACTTCAAAGAATGTCCCGAGTCCAGAGACGCTGAGGGGGACTCGGCTCTCCGCTCTGAGGGAGGATGGCCGGGCCGTCGGTCGTCCCGCGTCTTCGGGCCGGCGGCTCTCAGTCCCCCGGCGCCAGGGCGCACATGGAGGGCCCCATGGGCAGAGCGGGCCGCGGCGCTGCCGAGGAGCGCAGGGGCCGATTCCGGCGCCTCTGTAACCTGACACAGCGGCGGCGGCCGCGCGGATCGGATGAGCAATCCGCGCTACTTCCCAAACTAATCTCCCCCCGCCGGCCCTCCCTCCTCCCCCGCCCCGCGGCCCGGATTTGTTTATTTATGCAAACTCGCGCGGGACGGGGGGCGTGGCGCGCCCGCCGGTCCCCGGAGCCCCTCTCCCGCGCTCCCTGGTCCTCTTTGAAGTGACACCGGGGTGGGAGCGGGGGTATTTATACACCGGGGAGGAGAGGGAGGGGGTCGGCGTGCGAAGGTGCTGGGGGCCGCGCTTTGCTCCCAGGCCGCGCTTTGCTTCACTCGGGGGTCCCCCGCTGCCTTCCTCCCGAATCCCCGGGACCAGGCACCGCGCCACTGCGCCTCCCCACGAGGTAGGCGAAGCCTTCGCGACCCTCCAGGCCCCGGATTGAGCCACCGTCAGGGCTTCTGGACGCAGCTCCAAGAACTCCCCCTCGGCTACTGCCGCGCCCCCCGCCCCTTCTCCACCGGCCCAACCTTTCAGCCCTCTTGGCCGGGTCTCCCCTGCGCGCCCCACTCGGGGCGACACCCCAACTGGGTGCCGCGGTTTCGTAGGCGCCCACCGCGGGGCTCATTTTGCCAACCCCCGCATGTCTCGGGGTAGAGGTCGGCTATGGGGGGTGGGGGAAGGAGAGGGGAGCAGCACAGCTTCCAGGACCAAGCCCTGACTACGGCTCGAAGGAAAACAGCAGAGCGGTTGTGCCTCGGCGCCTTCGGGCTCCGACCGCTGCCTTCCCGGCGTGCGGTGCTCGGCCCAGCCTTGGAAGGTGAGCGGAACGGCCCGTGCCCACGCCTGCCCCCAACCCCCGCCCCACCGCAAGTCGTGCATCTTCCAGGGCGCTTCGTGGGGGTCACCCCTTCGCCCTTTTAGCAACAAATGTGTCCCAGCGGGCTTTATCTCCTTTCAATTCTTGGCATTCCTGCGAATGAGTGTTCGGAGGGAGGCTCCCTCCAGGGAACGCGGGGCAAGGCAGCAAGTCACAACTCTCGGCCTTTGAAATGGGAAACGAAGGTGGAGGCGGCCGGGGTCTTGGGGTTCCGTTGCATGGTACCAGGGCCTGCATCTTATAATTGCGCGAACCGTGCTTGTGTCAGGCTCTCAGAATGCCGACCCGGACGGGATAGAAAGAGGTGGCTTGGAAGCGGCTGGGAGCCAGGAGTGTGCGCGCCTCGGTCTCTCCAGGCCATCCCGGAGGGAGTGTGGAGGACCACCAGGGGGAGCCGGAGAGTTTCTGCGCGGGGACAGAAAGGGGCTGGGTGAGTTTGACCGACTTCTTCCCAAGCCGGTCTGAATGAATGCAGGTGTGGAATTGGGAACTTCGTTTGCTTCCATGCTTATTTTTTTTTTTTAAACTTTATCTTTTCAGAACTTGAAGGTACCTCAGGAGCAGGAAGGTGGTCAAATCTACCAACTTGGGAATTGGAGCAGTCTTGAAAAAAGAGAAAGGGGAGAAAAGTGCCAGACCGCCGTGGGCTAATATTACTTAGGACCTCCCTAAGCCTCTGTTTTCTTGTAGAAACTCCTACCTGTCCGTGAGGACGCCTTGACGGCGGCGGATGTGGAGCCCGTGGCGCAGTACTCAGCACCTAGTAGGTAGGTACTCCACTCCCTAGATACCTGCCTCCCTTCCTGCATTGCCTGACACCCTTTGCCCTGGGCCTGGTCCTTCAAGATAACAAGTGCCCTCCCAGGTTACTCTTGTGAGGCAATTGGCTCAAACTTTTATTTTTATTTATTTGAAAGCCAGAACTTCAGAGAGGGAGAGAAACAGAGGGAGAGCCTCCATCCGCTGGTTCATATTCCAAATGGCCGCAACAGCCTGGGCCAGAGCCAGAAGCTTGGAACTCTATCAAGGTGGCCACGTGGCTGCAGGAGCCCAAGCACTTGAATCATTCTCTGTTGCTTTCCCAGGTCATCAGCAGGTAGCTGGGTCAGAAGTAGAAAAACCAGGAATCAAATCGAGCTGGTGCTCCCGTGCGATGCCATTTTGCAGGAGGCAGCTTAACCCATTGCACCACAATGTCAGAGGCTGTCTTAAAGAAAGGATGGCTGGCCAGATCTTGGAACAGTGGCAGTTGCCCTGCCGGCTGCTCTGCCCAGGCTCTTGACCTGGCAGCACAGGTCCTCTGCATCCCAAGCCATGTCAGTGTCCTGAGGACACAGGGGCGGGCACATCTATTGTTCCATCCACTCTGGGCCTAGTCCCCTTCTCCTGGTGTGTACGAATGGGTTTTCTTTTGGGGGAGGGACGCTTTCTCTCAGTCTGTGTGGCTGGTGGTGCTAGCCCCATACCCAACCCTGGGGCCTGTGAGTGACCCAACCAGGTGGTTTCTTTCATCTGCCCCCATGCCACTGATGGGCAGGAGGTCACTCTCAAGCTACCGAGGCACAGCTGGAGTGACTGACTAGGAAAGCTGTCTAAAGAGACTTTGTCTGGGCATATCCACGACGGAGCGACCACAGGGCCCCTGCTAGCTCTGGGTTTCCATCTCTGCCCCCACTGCTCCCACAAACCCCTGCATGGCTCCTGCTGCCCGCTGGAAGTGTCTGGATGCCTGAGCCCCATTTCCACTTCCCACTGGGCTCCCTGCCTCTTCCTGCCATTCATTCATTGCCTGGCCTGGATGCTCACTGACTCCCCCAACCCTGCCTTCTTCTCACAGACCCAGTGGACCTGACCCTCTAAGGTTCTGCCTCCTTTCTTTCTTTCACATCTCTTTGTCTTTTGTGATCACTCTGACCCTGGGCCTGCCCCCAACTTAACTCTGTAGACAGGCATAGGCTCTCCCATGGAGCCGCCACAGCTGGCAAACCTAATCTGAGGAGGCACAGACCTGCCACGCTCATGTGCTCGGCTTCTCCAGGCCTGATCTCTCTCTGTCCCCGGCCATGCAATTCCCTTTCTGCTGTTTTCCTGCATGTGGCCAGCAGCAAGATGGAGGGGCCGCCAGCCAGGTGCCAGGCAGGCCTTGGGAGCGCTGCTGCTCTGGGGCTGTCCTCTGCAGCCCAGGCCGTGTCTGTCCCTTCCCAGGAAGCACAGTGTAGAAACCTGAGGAAGGGACGGTGGGTGGATGAGTAAGCCAAGGTCAAAGGCTCGTAGACTCCAGCTCTGGCTTTCTCCTCACCGTGTTACTGACCCTTCGCTCTGTTAAATCACAGCAAGCGATGAGAGGGCCAGGGAGGGGAAAGAGAAAAGCAGAGGACCGGGGATCAAGGCCTTCCAAGCTCTGGAGTTCACTTACTCAACCATCACGCCTGGAGCCTGGAGCCTGGAGCCTGGAGCCGGGCTTGGTGCTGGTGTTGGGAACAACCTGGGACGCACTGTGAGACAGGAGACAGTGAGTGCTGGGGGGGGGGGTGGCAAAGGAGCCCCTCCCCCAGGCTGGGGGCCCACAATCAGCAGGAGAGTGGAGTTAGCAGGGGAGTGTGTGCAGGAGGCCGTGCTGACACCTAGAGTCCCGTGTGTGTAGCAGCTAGAGGTGAGAAAGCGCAGACAGAGGCCATCAGCAGCTGGAGTGTGGAATGCAAGGAGAGGCTGAGCACTAGACAGGGGCCGGGCGTGGCAGGGTGCGGCAGGGCCCTTGGACTTTGTCCCAAGGGAGAGGGGCTGCTGCCAGGAGCTCTCGGTCTATACTGCATGCACATAGGGCCCCAGAAGCAGCAGTGGTGGCCAACCCTGAGCATCCTTAGGGCAGCAAACAGGCAGGCCCTCTCCGTGCCTTTCACAGGCTGGAAAATCAGTGCTTGTCCCTGGGAGGGGGACATGGTAGCATGCATTGCGACTGGGGAGGGCCTTCGGGGGCCATGGAGTGGGTGCTGCAGATTTCCTATTTGTACACACCTTTCCTGAGTGCCTACTTGCTTCCCATGCAGCCACGTGGATTAGTGTCCTGGCCATGACCCTGGTGGACAGGGGGCTGGGTGAAGGGGTAGGTGTCTCAGATGTGCAGGGGCAGGCCAGGCTGCTGCAGAGGCCCTAGGAGCCTTATTAACTGAGGCCAAAACAAACTCTCTAATTGAACTAAGAGTGAAGCCAAGTGCAGAGGCTCTGCTGCTGAAGATGCCCGAGGGACCCCTTTCAGGAGGCTGAGGGGCTTGGCAGGGTTGGAACACTTAGGTTTCAGGCTGTCTCAGTGACTGTGCCTCTGTGTGTGCGACCCCGAACTGCTGTCTGTTTAGAATCTCACTGTGTTCGTCTGGTCTGCTCTGGTGTTTTGAGACCCAGAAGACTGTGCACATTTCTGTGCATGTGTATACGCACAGGCACGGGTGAGGGAGTGCAAATGCTATGGGAAACAGACAAGCTCTGGGCTGGCTCCAAGCCACTGCCAGTGTGTGTGTGTGTGTGTGTGTGTGTGTGTGTGTGTGTGTGTGTGTGTGAGAGAGAGAGAGACAGAGAGAGAGAGAGAGAGATGCAAACAAGTACCAGAAGGCAGCAGAGAGATACAGGTTCTAACCTGTCTGTGTGTGAATCACCTGCCTTGGTCTGGCTGTACATGCAAAAACATATATGTGCTACAGGAAGGTC